GCTAGTACTTGTACTTGTACCAGCAGCAATAGTAGCAGCAGTAGCAGTAGTAGCGCTTGGCAGCAGCAGCAGTAGCAGCAGCACGCCTGCAACTGCAAGTACTACTAACCAATCATCACAACAACCAAAGTAGTGCCACTGCTTCTGATGTCAACACGACGTTACAGCTGCCACGACTACCCAGGGACGATCCTACGGCAACTGCTATGCAAGCCCCCCAATCCTCACACCCAAAGATTGAAGTTTCGTAAACCTACCACGGAGGCTCTAAGGACTCATATATATATATATATATATATATATTAAGGCTTTTGGGCCCAAAGACCATACTATATGGGGCGTTTGGGCTATTTTGAGCCTTAGGGTACCACAGAGGCCTGCCACCATTCCCAGCCTCTGTTCGTCGATCCGGCGCCGCACTCTCAGGGTCTCGTTGAGAGCCATTGGTTTTGATATATAGGGTTCCAGAGTTTACGACTTGAGGGTTAGGGGATGAGGTGGCTTTGGTTCAGGTTGTCTCAAATTAGGGAATCCACATAAACACCTCTCGCACACTTCAGGCCTTCCTTCCGGGTTGGAGGATCGGGACGGCTTGGCGGCGGGGCGGGCTGGGATTGGGTCCGAGGTGAATGCGAGGCGCGTTGCAAGCATTTCAAATCTTGGTGTTGTCCAGATGGAAAATCTGATTTCAGCATGGTTTTGACTATGATTTTTGTACACCGTGGTTCTGAATCAGATTTCATTAGTTTGGTTTCTAAAATGACTCCGATGTTGTTTCCATGAAACAAGCAGAGGAGAAAGTGCCTGATACAGACAGACAAGCATCACAACTATGGTCCAGGCCAAGTTCGGCACAAATGGTTGGATTACATTAAAACGGTGTGTATTTCGTAGATACAAAATTATGGCACAACCCCAGAGACTTGGACCCACCAAGTGTGCGGTGGTCCACGCCCTTCAACCGGTAAACTAGTGGAGCCTTTATGCACCGAAGCATACCTAAAGTCTCCATCGTCGTTCCGGTTTTGGTTCATTCATTCCGGTTTTGGTTCATTCAATGTCATATTTAGGATCTTTGCTATGAGGTAACACCGAAAAGGAACTACAATGGAGACTGTAGATATGAGCGGCAGAGGCTCGAGGGTCTTACTTCGTACTTGGCGGAGCAGTCGGTGGGTCTCGTGGACCTTCCGCTGGACCAGAAGTTGTCGCAGGCCCACAGCTTGGAATGGGCTTTGGACAGGGTCATTAAGGCTTCTACTCCTCCTCCTCTTCCTCCTCCTACTATTGCTGCTGCCGCTGCTACTGCTGCTGCTCCTCCTGCTACTCCTACCCCTACTCCTCCTGGTGCTGCCACTGCCACAGCCACTGCCTCGACGACGACGACTACTACTCCTTCTGCTACTAGGACGACTGCACAGTTCCGCCTCCTGCTGCAACTAGTACTGCCACCGCAACCAGCACTGACGACCATCACCAGCAACCCCACAGCTACCCGCAACATGACCACGATTGCTTCCAGAATCAGAGGCAGCATCAAAACGCAGTGCGGGCACGAACGGTGGGTATGCTTGCAGGTGCTGTACTGGTGACAACCCCCCACATGAGAACTTGTTGAAGGCCACACATTTCAACTTTCATCACCGTACCTCCAAGGCCCGCCTAGATGGAACTTGGAAGTGCTAGAAACTTCAAAGCTTCAAGCCCTAAACCTGTAGGAAATGCAAGCCCTTGTCAGCCGAAGCCTTTAGACAAGTTCGAAAGCCTGAGATTTGGTGCACCCTAGAACTTTGATAACCTTAAAGCCCACTGAATGCTAGAACTCGCAAGCAGGTGCTTTAGCTTCCACTCTGTTTGTTCTTATGACATTCAAACCTAAACTTGAACCTGCTTTGGAGCCCCTCATCTTCGAACCCTGGGCACTAAACTTGAATCCCTAAAACCTAACAGGAAGGAAAAGGGCCCTCAAAAAAAAAAAAAAAACAAAGCCCTGAACTTGAATGGCTTCGAACCCGGAAACGCCGCACCCGACAGCCCACAAGCTGAACACTGCAAATGGCCCGGATGCATAGACCCGTGCCCTAGAAGGGTCCGGCACATGCTTTGGCTATGAAGTAGTCCCGATACAGGTACTTTTTGGCCAAAGTGTCTACTATTTGGTTACACAGAACCTCAGGGTGATCTTTGACCCTGCCCATATAAACCCTCATCAACCCTTTTAAGCCCTGATAGACGCTGGACCCTTATGAACCCTTATATACCTTGAACCCCAGACCCTAAACCTAGATCTGCATGCTAAGTTACATCCTAAACCCTAAGCTACGTAGACCCTCAGGGTTGTATTGAACCCTAAACCCTTCTAAACCCTTCTGAACCCTAAACCCTGAACCTAGATCTGCTTACTAAGTTACATCCTAAGCCCCGAAGCCTCACGGAGGCGCCTCCGACCTTTCAGCCGGCGAACTCGCTTCAGTATCCTTTCGTTTCGAACCCATCACATGAGGCGGGCCGACTGCAGGTGTAAACTCCTTGGGTCTAAGCAAACAGCAGGATTACGAGATTTAGGGTTTAGGGCCTAGTCTTAGGATTCCAACCGGTGTTTGCAGGATTTTGCAGTTTCTCTTCAACGTGGTTGACCGACTAGCTTCGCCTCATGAAAGGTGGGTATGTGCGTTGAATGTTGTTGATTAGGGCTCCTTTGGGTGAGGCCAAATTACTATATAATAACAAAACTAATAATAATACTAATAATAATAATACTAATAATAATGTTAATAATAGTACTAATAACAATACTAATACTAATACTAATTATCCAAAGAAAGGAAGTTTGGTAGTTGTACAATTGGGGTTGGGGCACTTGTTGAGACTGCGCTTACTGGAGAAGATGCATGTTCTCAGTCGTCCAGCACCATGCATGAGGGGGGCACTTGGAGTAGCCGAGATATTTGAAGCAGCGGTTTTAGCAACTTGTCCTCCAGCACATGGGGTTGGGCCCCATGGTACAGTGCCTCGTATGAGCACAGTGCAATGATTTGACATGTCTAGACCTGTAAAGACTGCACAGAAATGTTACCTTGGAACATGCTCGCTCCGAAGTACGGGAGTTAAGCAGCTGAGGTGTTTTTGGATAGTTTTGATCATCAGCGTAATCCTCAGACCTACAAGCTTTAACAGCCTGTATGTGTTCATCCTAAATCGCCTGCCCTAAACCCCAACGCTATAAAAATCAGGCTTGGGAATTCTTGGTATTTAGACTACTGAAAGGCCTATTTTACCCCGAAGGGCCCGAAGCATCAGTAGACTGCAATATATTACCCTAAATTCTGAACCCTTACACCCAAAACCGCCCCTATGTGACGCCCATCCAGGGCCGGCCTGTGTGGAAAGCCCTTCGCCTCACGGCGTGTGCCGTGCTCGAAGCAGCCCTGGGACTCAAGGCCCTACGGGTGGTTGACAACTAGGATGCCCAGTAGTACCCTTATTCCCTTTTTGTAGTCCTAGGTTCCTTATAAAGTTACCCAATACCAAAAAGAGAGGCCTTTTTTTTTCGTAGGTTACTGGGTATCCTAGACAAAATTAGGGTCCCTGTTGGGGTACCCTAAATATTAGGTGCCGTATGAAACTAAGGACCCAAAAAGGGGCCCTAATTTTGACAACCACCCATACTCTGGTTGACTTGAGGGCTTAGGAGGTGTAGGATCTGGGTTTAAGGTTGAGGTTTTGCTAAAGGATCTGCATTTGGGTTAAGTCTACATTTGATAGTACAAGTTCTGCCAGTCTTCATAGGGCTGGCCTAGGTACACCCACTGTTGTCATGGTGGATTGTGGGTCTCATGTATGCCGATGCACTGCAAACAGTACACGGCCTTGACCCTAAAGCTCAAGGTCAGGACATTCTAAGACGCCTAGACCCTAAACCCTAAACTCGGGATGAGGTCCCGGGATCAGGTCTCTGCAGGGGCTTCTTCGGTTTTTTGTTGTTGGGTTTAGGCTCTTTTGGAAGTTTTCGTGCTTGGTAAGCTCCTTCCAATTCTATGTGTTCTTTGATCTGCGTGTTCCCGTGCACAATTTCAACCGAGGATCCGCAGTGGACTAGGTAATTACAAATAAACAACGTTTTGGGGTTCTTTGTTATAGATACCTGTATAGTATAATGCGCCCCAAAACCCTATTCTAGTCATAAAGGCCCCCAGAAGATAGTCTCACAGCATCACCGTTGCTCTCGCTTTGGCTTCAGTTTCTCGGATCTAGCAGGCTACACCAGTCGAGTGGGTTGTTGGCAGGCTGGGTGCTGAACACATCAGGACTACAGGGCAAGAAGAACTCGAACACGCCCAAGCAGGTGAACAAAAACTCCCAGAGCTCAAAAACAGTTTCCGGCCGTTGTTCGGGAGCTATGTTCACGACTCACAAAGCTTGGGTTCAACGACTTACCGTAATTTAGTTCGGCCCTGAACCATAAGCCTCAAAGAGCCCGGGAGTTGCTTGCCGGTGTATTGCTGGGCACTGACTTCAGTGACTTCATGGCAGGGTCGATGCTAGGGCGAGCAGGATCGGGTGCACCGTGGATGTCAGATGCCAGTTTTGATGTGCCACATTACATGTTGAAAAAGAAACCATGCAGTCGCTTGCTGTCCAGCTCATGCATTCACAACATGGACGTTCGAATAACACCTTTGCACACATGATGCATGTATTCATGTTGTGGTCCTGAACACAGGGTGCCTATCACAGTGTGTAGCAATATCGCCCAGTGTAGATCCCGTGGCGACAGCAAGCATGATGCAACAGTTCACTGCCGTGAAGTCGATCATCAACACACTACAGGACGAAACCGTTCGGCAGCATGTGTTGGCTGCCCAGCTGCATCCCCTGGAGCAACAGCTGAGAGCAACGGACCTCAGCCATGACGTTTTGAAGCACATCATTCAGGCCATCGGGGAATCACCCTTCTCTGCTGGACAGAGGACCAGTTGGGCACAGTCGTGTCGGACAAGATGGAACGTGCAGGTGGTAACAAGAAGGCCAAGAAGAGCACACAAGAGTTGTCAGACGTGGGGCCATTTCTGTCGGAGGCCGACGTGGCTTGCATTAGCAACCGAGAGCTCAACACCCTGGCAAGAGTCACCCGCCTAGGCTTGGTCTTTTCGCGGGTGGGCTGTACCAACCCCACGGAACAATCCCGTGGAAGAGCCACAAGCTTCTTGAAAAGCCACATGGGTGTGGCCGAGTTGAGCGAGCCGAGTGAATTCTTGAAGTCGGCAGGGTCAGATAGGCAAGTGCATAAGTGTCCAGAGAAAAGCAAAGTAGCTACCCAAGCAAGGGCTGACCTTAAACCCTTAGACCAGGGTTCCTAAACCCCAAAACCCTACTTCTTGATAACTACCCAAGCAAGGGCTGACCCCAAACCCCTAGACCAAGGTTCCTAAACCCCAAAACCCTACTTCTTGATAACTACCCAAGCAAGGGCTGACCCTAAACCCCTAGACCAGGGTTCCTAAACCCCAAAACCCTACTTCTTGAAGCTGCACTTCAGGGAACGCACAACGGCCAGCGCATCACGAAAGGCCCGCGGAACGAGGCCCGATGGGTTGTAGCTGGTCGACGATGCTATACCCGCTCTGTCGGAAGGTTTAAATGGGCTTTAGTGTGCAGGGTGCGACATGAATGATGATGGGTCTTTATATAAACAATCAAAACAGACGAAATTGCTAAATCGTCTTTTTGATTTAGAACTTCGTGTCTTGAAACCACCGAGGCGGCAGGTTAGGACTTCATTGTCAAGGGCTTTTGCAGTTTGTGGTCTCCGGTCCCCAACTACCTATAGTCTCCATTGTAGTTCCTCTTTAGGGTCCTCGTTTAGGTTCCTATAAATATACAACTGGTTAAACCAAGAAGAGGACCTACAATGGAGAGTGTAGGTAATTCTGAACAGTGAATTCTGGATACTGGAGCCTGGCTCAATGAACGGTGAATCCCGAAAGCCCGAACAACAATGCCCAACAGAGTTGTTTGCAACGCAGGATCGACGATGACTTTTGAATATAGATTCGGGATCTGGGGTGTTTGAGTTTATCTGTTGAGCTGCTGCGTTTCGGAGGTATCGGCTTTACACTGTCGGGTTTCGGTCAAGGCATTCGCTCGCGACGCAAGGCTTGCAGACTTCCAGTACATGCGGCAATTCTATGCACGATGGTGAGTCGCGGCAACAATCCTATGCCATTCCTAGCAGTATGCAAGTCACAATGATAAGCAACCCATCAACAACCGCTTCAAGTGTGAGGTAATAAAGATCGTCAACCCCAGAACCGTCCGCGAATGTCTCGGATGTCTGCTACTTCTCCGATGAAAACTGGCCTTACATCCAGGTTTTGAAAGAAAACGCACGCCCTCTCTCCCAAAAGCGATGGGCCCTAGAATGGCGCAGACGCTCGACCAGGGGGACACGCTCAGCCACAGCGAGGACCAGCCGGGGGTCGAGCACCGGGCTTGTGGAAGCAGCTCCCGAAGGGCTACAACCAAGTGAAGCACACACTGCTGAGCAGCTGGAGTCGGAGGGGGACAGTCAGGCGTACTGGAACCTTCGGGGGGCCATGAGTGAAGTGGAAGTTCCCTCCTCGGCGGAGCGGAATGCGGGCCTTCGATGGGTCTGTCCCATTCTCAAGCAGCCCCCAAGCCGGTGGCATATTTTGCATCCGTCCTGAAACTTTCGCGAGGCGCTCGCCAATCCTGAAGCACACTGTGGAGTCCTCTGGAATCCGCAAGCTGTTGAATTTACTCAGTTGTTTTTCCGATTTTGGTTGCGGGAGTGCAGGTCAATTACTCTTCTTCAGGAGCCGTATTACCAAGGTTTAGGGTTGGGGGTTTAGCAGCTATACCCGGCTCTTCCCTGTAACTCAGGGTGTCACCCAAACCTTATCTGTGCCTAAACCCCAAATCCCTATTATGACCCTATGGCCCAGTTTCTAACCCAAACCTTAACCCAAACATTATCTGTGCCTAAACCCTCTACCCCAGTTACTAACCCAAACCTTAGACCCTATACCCCGTACGCTAAACCCTAAACCCCTGTAGCCTGTAGCCCAGTTACCAACCCAAACCGTATCCCTAAGGCTCTAAGGACTCACATATTAAGGCTTTTGGGCCCAAAGACCACACTATATAAGGCTTTTGGGCCATTTTGAGCCTTAGAGTATCTGTGTCAGGCCGTGGCATCCCTGCGCTTACGCCCTGGCGGGCTCCTAGAGGTGCCGATGAGATGCCCGTGGGTTCGGTTCTCTAGGGTTGGGTTTTTGGTATAGGGTTTAGGGTAGAAGGTTTAGGGTTTAGGGTGTATAGGTTTAGGGCATATAAGGTTAATAGGGTTTAGGGTTCAGGGTATATAGGTTCAGGGTATGGGGTTTAGGGAGATGAGATATTCGTGGTGAAACGCTTGTGTTGCTCGTGGCACTAGCATGACCCCAAACTTCCTGAAACTTTCTTAGAGGTTCATGGGTAGTCACAAGTGGGGCTGATAAGTCCCCCAACATAGGCAGTGACTATAGCTGTCCTACTTGTAACGTCTGCCTCCGCTTCCCATGCACCTTCAAGTAAATCCTACACTTTAACCCTAAATCCTAAACCCTAAACCCTAAACCCTAAACCGTTTTAATATGCAAGAATGGACTGTGTTGGCTTCAGCGTGGAGGGTCTCACTCTTTCCTCAGCGCGGAGAAGGCATGGGTCGAGAGCCTGGTAGCGAATCATCAAGTCCCAACCACGAAAGGAGAAAAGCCATCATACGGGTAGTTCTCTAAGTTAGGGTCCCTTCTAAGGTCCTTGTTTATAAGAGTGCCGTACCATGTCAAGTCCCACTGCAGGAGCCGGGTTAAGAAATCCTGGATCTTTGTTAGGGTTCTAAAATTCTGGATCCCACTATTTCAGGGGTTTTGGAGCCAGGGTTTCTTAATCAGGCTCCTACTTTATCCACGAAAGCTAAAGCCATAAGAAGAGGTCGGAATCACTGTGATCCCTTAGTTCTCCTCAGAAACTTACAGTACAGTATAGTGTCGGCCCCAAAACCTTTCTCCGATTATTCTGTCCCTGACTAGTTAACCAAGAGGGTCCCTGTATGCGACTCTCACGGAACAATTAGGCCCCCAAAGCCATTGTAAGGATGATCTTTTGGGGGCCTAATTCCATCGTGGTAGCACAAACGGACCCTCTCTCCTTACGGGAACCCGAAAACAAACCTAAACCCCTAAAGCCTAAACCCCTAACCCTAAACCCCCAAGCCCTAAACCTTTAAAATGAACCCTTTAAGGAGCCTGGAGCCTTTGAGGGAACCCGGAAAGGAACCATTGCTTGGAGATGCCAGGTGCGCCTTCGAGGGGGCGATCTCCGCCACCTCCCCTGCGGCGAGTTGCGCGCCAACTGCCGCTGCGTCCCGGGCTCAGATCGAAAGAGGCTCCTTTGAGGGTTTTTAGGGTTTGTGGGACCCTGAAAGGACTTACTGGGCTTCACCATAAGGGGGGTTTATATGGGATATCCCGATCCTATTATTGGCTTATGTGCTTTTTGATGGGACTCCTGTCAGGGTTGAGGGTTCAGAGTATGTAGGGTGTAGCGGTGTTTTAGTTTTAATCCTTTGCCTGAGGGGTTTGATCGGGTATTAGTTTACGATCTTTACACCCTAGCTTTACAAGGCCCCACGCACCTCGACAGTCAACACGGCAGCCCTCATGACCAAAATAAGATCGGAACCCCTTTAAGCAACCTTAAGCTCAGATGCGATACATGTTCATGGACCCTGAAGGCGATTATACTTGGAGGGTCGAGGGACTTAGTAAGTAGTTATTACATAGACTTATAGGTACCTTAATAGGGACCCATATTGGGGTTATGGTACTTATAACTCTTTAAAAAACTGCTTACTAAGTCCCCCGACCCTCCAAGTAGAGAGTGATTGAGAGCTGTAGCAGTAATGTTGTTCCACAATGTCTGCCATGATCAATACAAAGCCGCTTAAAAAGGAACTTCAATCCGGGTTCTAATGTGTGACTGTACAGATTCTAAAGCCTAGATTTAACATTCCCTAAGGGTCCATGTGCTCATATAGTATATACATTGGCCTTAATGTAGTCCCTATTTGGGTACTTTGGGGCGAATGTATCTCTTTATGGGTACATGGACCCTTAGGGATTATTCAACTATATGAACCTTGCTTTGAATGAGCCATACCCTAAACCCTAAACCCCAAGCTCCTAAACCCTGAACCGTAAACCCCTAAACCCCAAACCCCTAAACCCTAAATGAACCATACACATGGGGATCCAGAGCTGCGGGTTGCTGGAATCCCGTCCTCCGGAAGCTGGTGGAAACCTGAGGTCGACTTTGCGTGCAGGGTATCTGGATCCTTTTCAGAAAAGACTCACGGGTTTGGTTAGGGGTTTGGGGGTTCGGGGATTAAGGGTTTAAGGTTTTTAGGTTCTCAGCACCACCGGCCTTCTGCAGAAACTTTCAGGTAAGATAAGGGCCTCAATAATTAGATGACACTTTTGGGGAAATGTAAAACCATTGGAAATGTCCCTGAAACTCGGACCTGGAGCGAAATCCTCCAGAGCAAGCATAAATCTGAAGATCTACCCCTCTGACGATTCAATGGCATGGCGGGTTCAACTTTGAAAACGGCAGAAGCCTCAACCCTGTTTCGGGTATATAAGTAGGACAAATACAGTTGCAGCCTATATTGGGGTGCTTATAACCCCTACTTATAGCTAACCATGAACCTTGATAGTAATTTGTAAGTAGCACTGCTGCAACTTTGTTCCTAAATACCTGCTAGCAAAAAAAGCAAATCACAACGTTGTCGCCGTCATCGTCGCAATCGTGACTACCAGCCTCAGCAGAATCAAGTTGCCGCATTCGTGACAAGCAACATGGCCCAGCAGGTACGTTAGACCCTTACGTAGCCAAGGGGAGAACTGACAAAAATGAACCCATATATGCTTGGACTATCTTACACAGCTTGAAGGTTTTTCGAGGACCGGGTATTGAAGAAGAAAGGATCCGAAGCAGAATCCCAAGAACCGCTCATACTCAGATCTTCCGGGCGCAATTACGCAGATCTGCAAGCGAATCCCAATCCCTTTAATTAGGAGCATATCGGCGCAGTACGCCGCAACGATCGTTTGAGTGAAACGAACGACGGCTGCAGAATTCCTACACCCTTAAACCTTCAACCGTAGAAATTCAGAAGATAAGCAGAATCCCTTAAACCCTCAGCCCTAAGCCCTAGAAGTTCAGAAGATAAGCGGCCTCCCTGAGGCTCATTGTGCTGGGCACCCAGCTCTCTTGGGTGCAGGGGCGGGGTGGTTTCTGAAGTCCCAAAGCTCTGAAGCTCAGCTACGGTTATATGGTTTAGGGCTTAGGGTTTAGGGGTTTAGGGCTT